GCCGCAGATTCCTAAGGAAAAATGACCAACTGTCCGTGCTTTCTTCATCGACAAGTGCATACGCGACCGGCAATAACCGCTTATTTGCAGTCTGTGCTATGGCCACAAGCAATTTTCCCTTGTAGGATCCACGCAAATGTGTGCCATCAACGCTAATAACCAGCGGGCACCTTTTGAAAGTTTGAATGGCGGGACCAAACGCTCAAAATACAAATTTAAATTGTCTGTCTCGAAGGTGTCGCGCCATTTCCCCACCCTGTCATTCCCACTCTACAACTGTGGAGGGATTCGTTCTTTGAAGCGCGGAAAAATACCTACACATTACAAAACAGTTTCATAATAAATAGATAAACATAGCGACAGACATTAAATAAATATACTATATTTGTAATTAATTTTTGCTTACTGAGGGAGTTCTGCGAAGTTCGATTCTCAAGTGTCATACACACTCTCGATGGCTTTTCTCCTTCCGTGCCATGCCTTCTTGTAGCTGACATCCACTTTCCAGCACTGTTTCACATCAGCCTGGATCATGTCGACGCCGTACTCTAATTTCTTTCGAATCTTATTACGAATGAGATTTGAAATCATTTGGGCGGTTACATTTCTGTGGTCATTTCTCTCGACCGGTTGCATACAAGTGTGACTATCAGTCCATTCTGTTAGTTCCCACAATTCATGAACCCGTTTGGACTTAGTCACCCGAGCCTTCCACACACAAGGCGGATCTTCACTAGATCTGCAGACCACTTTGTATGACTTTTGATTCGAATCATTTATCCGAATCTCCCGCAACCTATCGACGTTCCAAGCCATCAGAGCCATTTGGGCTTCTTTCTTGCTCCGAAAAACTATACCCAAACGTATGGCCTCAATGTCGCTATTCGAGAGTGGAATAGCATACTCGTCCTTATCTATCCTGGACGGGTCCCATTCACTCATCTCGCGGTATACGTGCCGACCACCACTAGGAAAGGGGTGTTCTTCTTCAATGAACTCGGCTTCACTCTCTTCATTTACCGATCTATCTGATTCGGTTTCTGAGGTCTCGTTTGTGAAATCATCTTCACCGAGTGCGAACTCTTCGTCACTTTCTTCCTCGTCCTCATTTGCCCTTTCTCTAATTGGTGAGCTTGTCCCTTCTCCAAAATTACGTAGATGAGAAGTCGACGTGCCCTCATCCATTCCCCCGTAATAAGGAGTAAAATCCTTAAACTGTGGAACCGGTGTAATTGCCTCCAACGATAAATGCAAATACACAACGGACATAGGAGGAGAGAAATAAATCCATTGCATAGCACTATCGTTATCGAGTCTTCTGGCATTCCACGAACCACCGCGTTGACGAAACATTAAAGTAATCTGTTCAATTGTCCAACCTTCTCCAAACCGACAATTTTCATTAATCATCTGTACCAATTCTCCATATGATATCCTCCCCGTAATAACAAATGAACCATCCGGACGATCTATAAATGAAACAAATTGTTCTTTCGCACATCGCCAATACAAATAAACAAAATATGGACCGCAATACTCCATTTATTCCTGTTGCAAAAAAAAATTCAATTCTTCCCAATTATAACAACACATAATGTCTAATCCAACACCCAAAAAATCCAATTATTCTTTGAACCCATTTTTTTACTTCCAATCGATTAATCCTCCAAAACCCTAATACACATAATCTAACAATAAATTAAAACCCCTAATTCTAACCCTAATTTCAAAAAACCCTAAGCCCAACAACAACAAATCAATTTGCAATTGACAATTTCCAACAAAATTCCAATCTCCAATTCAACATACACACATAATCGATAAACAATTAACAATTCTCAATCTTCAAACACCACCACAATCAAACATACTATAACACTCCCTAATCTCCAAACAAATCCATACAATGTCAAAGTTGAGATAAGCCAATATACCTCGTGCGAATGAATTAACCAAAAATGAGGTTCGTGTTGTTGTTATCGATTTACGTTAGGGTGGCGATTGGATCGAGTTTTTTTTTTCCGATAACCTCGCTCTCTCTCGCTGTGAATGGTCACGCAGAAATGGAGAAGAAGAGAATGAAACTTATTTTTATTTCATTGTAAAACGTATTACAAGAATACGTTTTACTCTTATTTAATTGTAAAATGTAACACCCCGCTTATCAGAGTAACTTTTTCGCAACTTTTACTTCGAAATTACTTTAACTCTTTTGAAATCTTTTGCGAATAACTCGGGATGCTACTCAAACTNATAAACTACTCTGTCAAGATTACCCTCCAAGAAATTCAATTTATGGTTCTCAAAAATGTCTGTTTAAAAATAAGCCCAAAGATGGTTAGTATATATGAAAGTGCGCATCTAAAGCCCAGTTCATTGTGTTGAACTCATAGATCCAATACATGTTAAAAGTTAAGTTGGCTGGTATAGGAATTAGAGGAATTACTCATGTGACATGGCGAATTAAGTCACATAATTGTACGAAAGTAGAGATGCAGACGAGTTGAACCGAACTGATCATTGGCTTTATTGAGTCATGCTCGATTGTTTCGGCACTTGCTTGAGCTCAACCTCGATCTCGTCTTGCTCGAGACTTGGAGTAGACAAAGAAATTTTGAATCAATGATGACAAGTGTCAAACCTCATGTTAAAATCAGTTTAGTAATTTTCTAATTTATTTATAAGTTTATTCAAAATTTAATATCCAAATTACATAGTTAATTAATTAATTATTTTAATATATAGTATTGGTCAATTAATAAATGTCACATGTCATTTCTTAGAAAATAAAATAAATTACTATTATTAAGAAGAAAAATATGAAAATTGATGTAATCATCTCTTTTAACAATTATTATTAAGAAGATATATATTGAAAATTAATAGACCAATCAAATTGATGTCTTTTTTTGAAATACAATCTCCCTTAAAACTATACAACAACAACAACAACAACAACATAGCCTTTAGTCCCAAGCCAGTCGGGGTAGGCTAGAGATGAAACCTAAGAGAAACACAAAAAGACTCGAACCGAAAGGAAGAGATCGAAAAAAAAAAACCGAGAGAGAGAGAGAATAACTAAACCATAAATCTCCCTTAAAACTATTAATGGGATTATTCTCCATTAAATTAAAAATCACAAGTCTATAAATTCAAGTTGAAGAGAATAATTCTTAGCAAGAAGTCATAAGAAATCCTCTCTACTCAACCAAGTCAAGTTGACGGATATTTACATTCAAGCCGTTCATCGCCAATTTTCATCAAGTGTCAACGTTTAATGCAATATAAGGTTTGAAAGCAAGTTTCAAGCCGTTTATCACCAATTTCCATCAAGCGTCAACGTTTAACTCACTATAAGGTTTGAAAACCTTAAAACTGATTGAGAAGATCAAAATATTCATTCCACCAAGACTACTTCATATTCAAGTCATTAGACTAACATTCGATTTGAAATCAAGCTGTCAAGCCTCGAAGAAACGTTATTCAAGTTCAAAATCAAGACCAACGAAGATCAGACTGAAGATTTGTCTCCAAATGCATTCTTCGAGATTTAAAAGATCAGACTGAAGATTTGCCTCCAAATGCGTTCTTGGAGATTTAAAGATTGTATTGAATATTTGAAAATCGCTCTTGAAGAAATTAATCAAATGAATAATAGAGATTTGTAATTCATTATATTCATTTGAACGTAGAAATTTAGTTTGTACGAAATTCTTGTGTTTATTAATACAATAACAAGAAATTCGCATTATACTCAGCTCTACAAAAAAAAGATATATTTGAGATAATTGTCTCAAAACTTTCTCGAGTTCAACTAAAATATTTAATTCAAAATGACTATTTAAAGATATTTAGATAATTTTATGTATATTTGAGCTATTCATCGAGAGCTCAACACGTTTAGAATCCTATGAAAGAGAACTGTTTTTGTTGCTTCGTTCTTGAAAGTAATAAATACAATTTGGCAATTTAGGTCGTGTCATTCCACGGGAAAACCATCCACATACTCATACAATTGAATCGAAAAGGAAACATACATCACAACATTGTNTCATATGGTGTCACTGCACACATACTGCGTCTCATTGCTAATGTGAGTGATATCACATTATTTGATAACAAACCCTGTTGTTTACTTTCTTTGGTTGGAAGGCCTCAAGCCCGTTAAATTCCATCAGGCCAGAATAATATTATTACCTGAAAAATGGCATTCTGTATCCCACCTTCTACTAGGGAGTCTAGGGGTACAATAATTGAGATTTATTAAGAAATGTTTCATTTCCAAAATTGTAGGAAAAACACAATTTTTTGGGTGAAGCAACCTAATTACCTAACCATTGGACGAGTAGACTCTCAATACTTTATGGAAAAAAAAATATTAATATTATCAAATGTTATATTTTGTTATATTTATATTCATAATTTTTTAAAGTATGACATTGTTAATAAAAGGATGCATATTTTTGTGTTATAAAAACTCATTATTTATACGTCGTAATTAAAAAAAAAATATATTTGAACAGAGTATTTCTCTTTCTATAGCTTGGATAAAATGAGGGGGAATTTTTATTTATACTGTATGATTGGAAAATATTTGTAAACATATGATGGTAAAATATTGTATTGCATCTGTACCAAATAAATGTCATTTAGTTGTACAAAGGTCAGGATTTCAGTTACCAAAACTAAATTGCAACACATCCGTGATTTGCGCTAGACGTTTGAATTTATGATTTCTGTTAAAAAAATATATATATTTATAAATGATAAGTCAATATAATCTATAAAATAGGAGGTTGTTCAATAAAAAATGGAAAGATAATGAATTTGAATTTCAAAAGAGAATTTCGAGTGTATATTTCCTGTATATTTTATGTATATGTTTGTTGTACAACTTTGGTATATACTGTATATACCCGCAACATGAAAATTTTCATATCTGATGGTAACATATAAATCATGTACAGAATTTTATATCCGAAACATATAATTTTTCATACCCCGAAACATATACTGAATATACTGTATATACCTGCAACATGTACAGAATATAACTAAATGTTCGACAATTATCCTCAGAAGTTTTTGGTCAAAACGCATTCTGTATACATAATATATACAGAATATATACAGAAGATATACAGAAAACATATAAGTCCGGAAAATATACGAAATAACTTGGTAATTTTATCTTTTCGTAATTCTTTTTTTTCTTGACGATCAAACTTATATACAGAAGATATACTCAACATATACATATGATATATTCACTGATTATAAACGAAACATAGACTATATAACAGTATATTTGTCGGGAACATATACATAAGATATAGGGTGTATTCATTTGGGTTTTCAAGTGAAATTTTGATACTTTTTAAGATTTGAGATTTGTTAAGGTTTCCAGATTTTGGAGAAATTTCGTAAAATGCTAAGTCTGGAGGTGAAATTTGAGGTAGGATTTCGTATAAAGTTTTTTTGTTTGGAAATCCCACCAAATCTTAAAAAGTCTAATAAAAATTTCATTATCTATATATTCCCACCCCTCCACCCCAATAGCTTCTTCTTCTATTGTGTGCCTTCAATTCATCAGTTATTTTCAAAAATTTGATTCCACCTCGATATATACACACACTACACTGTCTCTCACACACTCATACACATATAGATAGAGAGTTTTCATCTTCTTCGTGTGGTCTAAAATGGATAACTGTCTGGCTGCACATACACATATAGATATATAAATACTTATAGACGGCGGTTCTCTTTTTAATCTCGCTAAAACACGCACCGGAAAGAGGCTGAGATGTTGGATCTAAATGTTGACGCCGTTTTTCTGGCCGTCGTTCACAAAAAACTAAAGGCCATGTAGAGCTGCAAATAAAATCGGCGGAGAAAAAAAAAAGGATGAAAATAAACAGAAAATTTAAGAATTTAAGAAAAAGGAAACACAAAAAAGAAGGGAAAGAAAAATTTAAGAGATGAAGGGCCTGCGTGAGGGTATTTCTCCTTTTTGTGTAAGAGATGTGTTGATATCAAATCCAGTAACAGAGATTGAAGATGGAGATTAATCATATTATTGAAGAAATAATTTCGCAAGAAGGTAAACTTACTACAAGTCGGTATGTATTGAAACAAATTATCGACTTCTGAAGAATTACCGACTTTCAAAGATCCGACTTTCAAAGGTCTTCGAAAAGAACCGCCTTCACAAGAACCAACATCTAAAGCCAACGCAAGTAAACTGACTTCAGTTCAACCGACTATCACGAAGTTTGAATATTCCAACAGAAAGTAATCATTAGAAGCATCTGATTGGACCAACAAAACAAAAAGGCAATCATTGGTGTTTCCCGCCGCTTCAAGTAAAGCAGCTCAACATTAAATACATCTTTATCCATTTCAAGGAAGAAGACAAAAGCCACCGTACTATAAATAACTGAATTTATGATAGTACGAGGATCTTCTTTTCCAACAGATGGTACATGAACTAAAGACGATCTCGGTTTTCAGTAAAAAACCGACTTCTGTACTCTTGTGATTATAATAAATAAAAATAAAAATGAACAATTATCCTAGTTTTCTTTACACCTGCTGTGTTTAATTTTAAGTTGTTAATTCAAGACAACAACAAGATGAACGGCCTGCGTAAGAGAAAAAAAAATCCTAGTATTTTTCTTTTTTGTGTTTTCGTTTTTCTGGTCGTCCCATGGCGGCAGGATGTCCATCATGAAATGAACAGAAAATTTAAGAATTGGGAAAAAAAAGCTAGAATGAGAGGACGGTGGGAGATTTGGAGCTCCATGGCTGACCTAAGCTATGGTGGTAGTGGTGTGTGAATGCAGACAGTTTTGGCAAAAATAGTGGTCGATTTTGGAGGAGATAATTAAGGAGATAATCTATTCCTTAATTAATAAATAGTTTGACTAAAATCTAAATTCTGGTATTTGTGTAATTATTTTGTGGTGATTTAGTAGTTTTACAAATAAAATTGAATGAAGTGTAAAATTGTTATATAAATAAAATATTATTCTACGTGGTGCAAATTTCTCTAAAATGAGGGGATAAAGACGGGTAGATTTCTCGGGGCCCACTCAGCACCTAACAGTAGGCCCATTACCAGGGGATTTCTGGGCCTTGTCCACCCACAGTTTTCTACAAACGCGACCTTTTTCTGCGTAAGCGTGGGGTCCACTAGTCTCATCCTCCCTCAAAAAACACACACTTCTCGAGAGAGGAAAAAAACCCTAAACAGTGGTCAAAGAAGATGATGTCCTCGTCCGAAATGGTTCTCCACAAAATCTCCTCTCCGCACGACCCGCCGGAGTCCCACTACCAACTCGTCATTCCGCCGAACTCCGCCGTTCACAACCCCGCCTCCGCCGTCGCCGTACTCAGGCCCAAGACCAGCGCTTCCAGGAGAACCGCCGCCGGCTCCCCGTCCAGCAGGGACCGCCACACTAAGATCAACGGCCGCGGCCGCCGCGTCCGGCTACCGGCCCTCTGCGCCGCCCGTGTCTTCCAGCTTACTCGGGAGCTTGGCCTCCGCTCCGACGGCGAGACTATAGAGTGGCTCCTCCGCCAGGCCGAGCCCTCGATTGTCGCCGCCACCGGGTCCGGCACCGTCCCCGCCGAGGCCGTTTCCACCTCCTCCGGCGTCCTCCCGCCGTCCCCCGCTTCGTCCACCGTCCAGGCGGCCGCGGTCACCGTGGCAGCAGCGACGCAGGGTGGCTGCAGGCTGGATCTTTGCCAGCCACCGCCGTTGGAGCTGGGTTTTTTTCCGGACAGGTACCACCACATGCCTTTCACGGCGTTGCTCCTCCAGCCGGCGGTGGTGGAGGCGGAGGAGGTGCACAGCCCGGCGGATAGGAATCAGGAGCAGTAATAATGGTGTCTGGTTGGGACATTTTCAAGTAATTATAGCAGTTAAAATAGCCTATTACTGTTGTAATAATCCGTTTTTTCTTCTTGCTGTGTTGAGGGCTTTTAGGGGATGAAAAGTAGAAAATAGAAAGATGTTGGGCCTTAAAGGAAGTACTTTTCTTCTGTCAAATATTGAATTGAGGATGAGTTTTGTCCGTCATTGGCAATTTAAGTAATGCAAGTGCCCCTAATTGCCATTTCAGTATTCTTTCTCTGTGCAGTATTTCATTCATTCAGTCACCAGACTTGTTGCTGTTTTTTGCAATAGCACTGAAAAATTAGACTTTATTGCTTCTGTGTGCTCTTTTATTCAATTAGCACATGATATATGCTCCCAAGTAGTCAACTACATATGACTTATGAATTAATATATTGTAACAGTATAATGATGGTAATATAATAAGCCTATTTATTGTGTTCTACAGAGACGATGTAGAAACAAAATATAGTTAGTTCCCTGTAAGGATTATTCGGATTTGATGCCCTAATAGTGTATAAATTATTCGCCTATTGCTTGTTTCGAAAGTTCCACCACTTCTTCTTTCTCTTGAGATCGCTCTGGGGTAGATCTGATCGAATCAAAATACTTGCATCGTGTTAGTGAATAAAAATGTGAAAAAAANGCTACTACAAAAAGAAAAGAAGTAAATACCTCCTTGAGGATAAATTGAGTTGTAGTGCACTTCAGCCCAGAAACTCAAATATATGACTGCACATGAAAGACTTAAAATAAGCTGAGAGCAAAGGGCAAAAAAGGAAAAAGAATGACAAATTAGCCGAGAAGTACAAAAAATACATCATATGATATAATGATCGTGTGTCGTTGTAAATGGATGTTTTCGAGAGAAATTTCCTTCGTCTGTATATTATATATAGTTCAATTCTGGTCATTTGTTCTTCGATAGGAACTTCTTGATCTAACAGTAGCCAGTTTGAATGCATTATGATTGAAAAAAATGTGTAGATTTTGAATCATGCGCCAAAAAATCATGCGAATCAAAGCTTGGAAAAAAAAAATCTGGAGTACCTCTTTTCGACTGTTGGTCCATGGGAAGAATCTCGATGTAGCAGGTGTCTTTAAAAGAAGTTACTACGACAATCTTCACTCCATACTGCATACAGAAGTTGTTTTCTAAGTTTCTATATATTTTCCAAACATAAAAAACCAAAATATTGTTTAAGGTTAATTTATAAATACCGAGTCTGCAGCTGCCTGCAATGTGACATGATCACCCCACTCCCCACTCCTGGTTACTAAACATGTAAGGATTATGGGAGTTCAAAAGTTGCTAAAAAATAGAAAAAGACTTCAATAAGGTTTAAGGTTTTTTTAAAAAAAAAAAATCAGGATAAAGAAACTATACTTGGACATCCTTTTGAGATAATCGGCATATTCCATTGGGACATACCCCTCGTAAATTTCAGGATGAGCTTTAAGCTGAAAAAAAAACACAAAAACAAAAAAACAAAAAAAAAAATGCTTAGGATTGTAGTTATGTCAGATTCTGCAAGCAAATAGGATAACTAACAAATGAAGAATATCATTTTGCTACTATAAAACACCTGACGAACAACTTGCTTTCTCACGAATTTGTGGTGTTCAGGTGTCCGATAAAACTGATCAGATAAAGCACGAAACTGCAAGAAAGTGGGGTCACATTAACTAATACATGAAAAATACTTGATGACTAAGTTAATAGCTTGAAAATGTTTCTTTCACTTCTAACAAGAAACGAATATTTATCTCGATTTGATCTGGTCATTTGACGTTATGAATGCTGAAAAAATCTTTCTGCCAGCAAAGTGCTATGAAACAACTGATTGCACAAGAAGACTGTGACATCTAATAAACTAAAGAGATAGGAAAAAGGAAACGGCAAATTAAACCTGACAATTTCCATCTCCTTGAACCTTGTGCTCTATCAAGTCATACAACTGTAACCTGAAAGAAATGGCAAAAGTGTGTATTTTGGCCGATAAACCCTTCCTTTTACTGTGTAGCAACTAAATTTTGCCGGCTACATATATTTTAATTGCATATTTGCAGATCCAGATGAAAAAAAAACACAAAGAACTACTTCTATTTACTAAATAGTTCTAACCAGACTCATTTATATCTGATATTCTAAGCAGACAAGAAAGAGAATGCTAGAAGTACCTATCTAGTAGCCTCTGATGATCAGAAGTTGCTTCGTCAATTGAGGGTATATCTCCATTAATTCTTGGAATGTGCTGCACACCAATACATATTTGAATTCCCTTTTGAAAAATACTTTATGAAGAAACTGATGCCATTAAGATGGCTAAGAATCAACAAAAATGAGCTTAAACAAACTTTCATAAATTTGCACATTAAGATTACCGTGAGCAGCAAACATTAGCTCTCTATACAATTAAGTGATTAACAGAACGAGATTCCAATAAAAGCTCAATATTTAAAGCAAACAGATTATCCATAGCTTCATAAAACTCCATTAGAAAATGACGTAAAAACGTAATCACTTGAACATGAAACGAAAAGTTTACGAGTTCATAGAACTGATTGCTTACAGGAACAGGAACCATTTGGTACAACCTCTTTTCGACTTCTCCATCAAGTTCAGACCCATCTGTTATGTCCAGAGTATAAGAAAAGTCATCTCCATCATAAGATCCATCCTCAGGGCTGGAGCATAAACTAGCCTCATCATCACTTTCATTTTGACCAGCCTCTTGGTCTGCAAATATTTTAGATTTTCTCAGAGTTCTTTATAATACAGACCAGCTTTGGTAGAAGCATACAAGAACGATAAACGAGAAAAAACGTACCAGGATAATAGTTATTTGAAGAATCATTCCAATTTGGGACGACATTGGAATTTTGCAAGTATTCTTCCTCAGAATGTGATAATCTAGGAGATTCTGCAATTGACAACTGAGACAATTCTTCTTGAAGAAGAGAACGTGCAATAATCTCATCGTTCTCGATGTTAGCATAATTGTTATCTGTTATGTACTGTTCATGACAAATTTTTACATCATGCTGAGAGCTGTCTCCATAATAATTGTTACTGAAAATATTGTCAATGTTGAGAAAGCTCCAGGGTTCGGCCTCTGCTTCTGGCTCGTGCATTATTGTATCTTCTATTGAGTTGTCACAGGACAAAATGTGCAATCACCAGAAAAACAACTTCCTTGGTTTGTGCTAAATATACCTGCTAAAGAGGAGATAATTATATTAATCTTCCAATCACATATACTGAATCGTCAAAGTAGAAGTCTCCATATAGCATCAGCTCGAGCAAAGAAGCAGATGGGATAAGGTTAACTTCCTATCAGAAAATTGAACCCATAACAGTTACTTTCTAAATCAGAATCCCTCATACGCTTCAATAATTTTATTTTTTTTTTTCCTTTCTTTGGTGAAGTTTCAAATACAATTTCCAGCAAAACAACAGACGAGCAAACAGACAAAGAGAGTTCTTACATATATCAGATTAATTTACGATACCAGCTACGAGCACAAAAATTCCCAAAAGCAATCCGCAATTTAAGAAGGCACATCCAATCCAATCATAAACAGTTGAAACAGGGTGTGTTGTCTAATATGATGTTACTACTAATTTACCATAAAGTGCAGTTAAAACTTCGAACCATGCGTAAATTATTAACAAAACTAAACATTTTAACATATAATCAATGAAATCATTTTCTTCTGGCGATAAAAATTTCAACTTTAGGCTTCCATTTTAATAGGGCAGCATCATTTTTTGTTTCCAAATGAAAAATCTCATACCCCAATGGTAAACAAATGAGATAGAGGGTAGACAGTAGTTTCTTAAAATTGATAAACTGCAGCGACAGGCATAAATATCAACAAATAAAGCTAGCAAAACCAGACGGCCTAAATCTCTCACAAGATTGTTCCTTTAATCAAAGGTTCGACGCCCGAACAGAATTATGCTGGATCGCATAATCAAGATAGGGAAAATAAAAGGCATAATCATAAGAATACAAGAGATCATAACAAAGAAGAACACGAAAACTTCGGGCCGAAGCAATTCCAGACCGCAATAGAATGTCCAATAGAAACACAGAACAGGAAGTTCACTCAACGTCACAGCCAATCCAAAAAACCAAAAACCGACCTCCAATTCAATTCCAGCAGCACACGTAAAAGGGTAAAACTCAGCTGCGCGGCCAAATACGCGTGAAATCATATATCCAAAAGTATACAGAAAACCCACAACGCATTTCCAACTATTGGTGATAGAGATAGATAAAAGATGGCCAAAAAAGTACGAAAATGATGAAAGGGATTGGGGAAAAAAGGACTTTTTGAAGTGCGTTTATATACAGTTCGAGCCGAGGACGAGTGGACTGTCAAAGATCGAGCAGGTTAGTGATAAATGGGGAACTGTGAGTGGCGCACGGAAGGTTTCGGGTGGGCCAAAAGATGCCGTTGGTTTAAGCGAGATCTTTTTTCTTGAACTGATTTGTTTTATTTACGGCTCAAATTTAGGTGAGAATGAATTCCATCATGAATCTTTGTTTAGGTGAGAATGAATTCCATCATGAATCTTTGACTGTTTATTGCGAAATCTTAATTAGAATTGGCTCCATAGTGGTTAGAATTGGCTGCATCAAATAAATCTACTATATTTACCTAAATAATACTTATATAACTAGTGCGTGGCCCGTGCGATGCACAGGAAAACAATATTATGATTGTATTATAAACTAAATATATAAATAATATTAATCATGATTTATCCATTGCCTTTTAAATTAAACCGGGTTGGACACAGTCCGACCGGATGGACCGAGAACCGATTTATAACCAATCTAATTCGCTTTAATAAAATATTTGCTCTCGAATTCGTCAACACCAGTCGGTTGGACTGGTAGGATCGATACGATTTTCTAAATAAATTTTGTTATATTTAAAATTATTTTAAATAAAATTACATATTTAAATAAAATAGTAATTTATAAATTATTTATCAATAAGTTTAAACATTTAAATTTATAAATTGTTTAGATATTTAAGTAACACATTTTATTTAAATTTATTACAAAGAGTAATATATATATATATATATATATTAAAATATTTATAAATTAAAATCTGAACAAACGACAAATGATTTAATAAAATAGCTTGATCGTTTCGATGACGGTCTAGTTCTGAAAACCTTATATTTACTCTACATTAATAAATAATATAATAAAATATTAATTAATCTATATCTATATATATATAATTGCTAGCTAAGTAATAAATTTTACCTAATAAATTTTACCTATGTGGCAAATCATTAATAAAATCTAATAAATAGAACCTAATAAATTTTATTTATGTGGCATTAATACACTCAATCTCATTAATAAGAAAATATTTCATTACATTTTTTGGGTTAATTAAGACAAAAACCATTATATTTTATGTTAATTGATTAATAATTATATTTTTTATTGAATAATATAATAGTTAATATTAAAATTAGTAATTGTATTTTATACTAAATAATATATGAAAGTTACATAAAATTATATTTTACACTAAAATCAATATTTTTTTATATGATGAAGATGTTGTTTATTAATAAATTAATTTTTTTATGTCATAGTAAAATTTCTTAAAATCACATAAGCAATTCTTATAATAAATGTAATATTTTTCAGCTAATTAATTGGTCATGATCGCTTAAAATTATAAAAAATATATATTTATTACATTTTAACCAATAATCAAATTTTAAAATATAATACTATTATATAATTTTAATATTATATACATAAATATAACTTATAATACTATATGTTTGAAATATAATACAATTATACAACTTATAATTTTTATATTATATACATAAATATAACTTATAATATTTAATTTTATTTACATCTGTGCAAATGCACAAGGTCGAATACTAGTATATATAATTACTAGCTAATAGAAATTAATATAACCTATTTAATTTTACCTATGTGGCAATTTAATAATTTTTCCTCCAAAAACCGTTACATTTTGATGTATTTAATCTTTCATTTAATCATTAAATAATTAATACTCATCACTTCAAAATTACAAAAATCATTTTAAACTTTTGATTAATGACAGTTGACCATATAATGTGTTGACCGTATAATGTGATTAGATGTTATTATTGTTGTTACATTTATTTTTTTTTTTTAAAATAGAAAATATATTTGAAATTCCTAAATAAATAATAAATAATTCACAAATAAAAGACGTACCAAAATATACATTACATCCAATCAGATAAACGCAATTTAAAAAAAAAATATTCCAACTTTTTTAATTGTAAATTTGGTCTGCAAAAAAGTGAAATAAAAATAATTAATCATTATATGTACAGACTCACAATAATTTATATATCTGTGCAAATGCACAGGTCGAATACTAGTATATATAATTACTAGCTAATAACATTTAAGAAAACCTATTTAATAAAACCTCTAAAATTTTCCCTCCATTTTCGGTTACAAAATTTATCATTAATGTTTTTTACTTCTCACATTAATACATCCTATTGAGTGTAATAATATATTTTTCTATTATATTATATAATAATTAATGCTAATACCAACTAATAATAATTCACAATAAATATAAATTCTATAATTATAAACAATTGTTTCAAGTTATTTATTTTAACATCAATATTATTTTTTTCTTTTGTATTTCATGAAAAAAGTTCTTTAAAAACAATTAGTAAATTGTTTTTAATAGCATAGTCAAACAACTTTAGAATCTTATAAACAATTGTTTTTGTAATAATAATAATAATAATAATAATAATCAAACTGCTATTATCTAATGATAATTAACAATTGTTCATAATAATAAACAATCATTAATTTATTTTTTCTAATGATTAAATTTTAAAAATGTATTCTAAAATTTTAATATTAAATTCTCAAATATTACTTATTATATTTTATGTACATCTGTGCACATGCACAGGATAATTACTAGTTTACATAAATATTAATAAAACGATATATAAATATTCATAAATTATTAAACATGTTGTCATAAAAGTATTGTTAATACGATTATTTGAAGTTTGGACTACATCACATTCACGTAATAAAATATTTTCAATACAAAATTTATATTAGGTTCAATAATCGATTTGGTGTAGTCGAACTGATACATAACTTAGTCACTTGGGACCAACCAAGTTGTGTCAAATTTTTTAACTATTTTAAATATCACCTAAAAGTAATTCAATCAACCTGGACAGTACTCTGTTTCAATCACCCGATTGATCCGAAGAATTTTCTTTAAATATATTTAATTTAATGAAATAAAAATATTTTATAATTCATATAATAAATGTCTACACAAAATGATAATATATTGAGATTATAAATTATATATCTAAAGATGAATTAATTATTTTTACTTTATGCATATTAATAAAAAAATAAACATAGTACTTTTAAATAAATTAAGATTAATTGATTGATTATATGCAATTTAAAAAATATTTTTAGCGTTCAATATTTTTTTAAAGGTACAAATATAAAGACCGAGATTCTAAAATTTTTGTTATATTTTGAATTGATATTTTATAAATATAGAGACCGAGATTTTAATGTTGTTCGTTGTTTCTAAAAAAAATAATAAAAATAAAAACATACATACTTAATAAATCTTAGCCGGATTTTTTAAATAATAAAATAAACTAAAGTCCAAAATTTAAGGTAGTATTTAATGCTGTATGATTTTTTAAGAAAGAAATAGAAAAAATAATAAAACTTACTATTTATAGGCTGCGTTAAATTCTGACCTATTTTCTTGCTACTATTTTTGGTAAATGGTAATTCTTATTATATATATAAATATATAGATTTTATGAATATGGTAGGTTTATTTGATGTATATAGAAGGTTGGCTCCATAGCAAAACCGTAATTCTTTAACAATTTTGTGGTTACTCAAAAGAAAATCTAATTTATGAATTATGATATCTATATCTATCTATTTAAAAAGGTTGTTGTTAAAATACTTTTTTAGAAACTTTTGACCAAAAAAAAAATACATTTGACATTCTAAATATAGAAAGCTTGAAAGCATTTATAAGACACGAGATTAAAAAAAGTCATACTTGAGTTCAAAAATTAATGGATTAGAGATATTATTGAGATATGTGGATAAGTCATAAGTCACCTTAAAGAGATAAGTCTTGGTTTGAATTAATGGAATATACCATCTCAAAAGAAACACGATTAATCTTCCGTATTAATCTCATCTTTTCACGTGCACATTTATCGGCTTTGGCCGTGTGTATATCCCCAAAATGTCAATCACTTATATCTCACCCAAAAAAATCATCTCCCTCATGTCTCATCCAAAAAAAAAAAAATCCAAATTTCTGAAAGCCAAAAACCCCTAGTAGCGACAGCAAGGTTACGGATGACGGTCGGCCGATGACAGTGGAAGGAGCAGCTGCGACGGCGAAAAGGCGGCGAGAGCTGCGAGATACATTTCGGTGAATAGATCTCATTTTTTATACTTCCCGATCTACAATTTTTTCCATCCTTCTCATTGTTTTGCTTCAAGATTTGGTTTACCGACATAAATCCATTCCATTTCTTCATAAATCCAAGAGACTCACTGGGAGAGAGAAGGCTAAGGAATCATGAATTCGAGCTATGGATCCGTGGGCCCCACCATTTGACGCCCTAAAAATTTCACCTTTTTTTTTGCTCCCTTTTTTTTTTTATTTCAGAAATTGTGCCCCAATGCGATTTTTTTGCGAGGCTTATATATAAAGGAATTAGTAGGATCTGTAATTTTTTTCCAAATTTGTATTGGGAGATTTATGGTGTTCTTGTGATTTTTCCGGTGTTAGTGAGTGTACTGAGGTTTTATAAAGTTTTAATCTTGGCTGGCCAAAAGCGTTGTGTGTAGAATTTCTGCTTTTTTTAGCATTTATGCTTACATCTCGAGCTTGGTCGATTTCTTGTGGGTTTTACAGTGCTTTTTTTTAATTTTCCTCTGTTTGATCCTGTTGCAGCCAATGTATTCTTTGACGGAAATTTTCCCTAATTTCTTACATGCATCTGGTGGTGGCCCCCAACAGGAGGAGGCGGCGACCATGGCCGGGGAACTCCTCTCCTGCATCTACATCGACATCTGCATCGCCTTCTTCATCTTCCTCATAAGCCCAACAAGCCGTCCTGGACCCATCCGCGTGCAGCCCCGATCCAATTGACCGGGCAGGGATCTTTATTTGGGCCGACATCTATGGTGTGGGATATTTTCGGGAAAAGCTGGAACTCCTCGCGTCACGGGACAACATATTCTGTTTTTCTTTATTTTTGTTCAAAATGAGTAAACTAACTTCTATAGTTTACGCATAAGATGTTTTAGTCAATTTTCATAAAATACGATTCTACGTATACAAAGATCTAAATTGATATCTCAATGATAATTATCTAAAAATAAATAGAGAATTCTGATTTTGTTACTGATTTTCAAATATCTCAACGATCCAAGTTATTTGAAGGATAAGACTATATTTGCGCCGACGTTGGATGTGGTCGAGTCTATCAATGAGTACATGACATCATTGAATTTGTTGGATGGTCGTATGTACGTGAGCTCTGACAGTACGTGTAAATCGGATTCTAATAATGATTTTTTGTCTGATTTCCATACGCCTGAGTTTTTTAATAGTATCAAGTGTTCCGGAATACCGAACTATGAGTTGTATTTGAAGATTGGAACTCCAGTCATGTTGTTGGGAACATGGATCATTCTATGAGTTTGTGTAATGGGACACTATTGGTTGTGACAAAACTATCGACTCACGTTCTTGAGTGTAAGATACTCACAGGAGATCATGATGGTGATAAGGTGTTGATTCCAAGAATGGCCATAACTCCTTCTGATGTTAGAATTCCTTTCAAGTTCCAGCGGCGATAGTTTCCCGTTATGGTTTCTTACGCCATGATTATAAACAAGAGTCAGGGACAATCTTTATCTCATGTTGGCTTATTTCTTAAGAAACCAGTGTTCAGTCATGGCCAGTTATATGTTGTTGTTTCCCGTGTCACTAACCGAAAAGGTTTGAAAATGTTAATTTGTGGCGACGATGACGTGCCAAAGAATCAAACCACTAATGTTGTATATTGGGAAGTGTTCAATAATATATGATATCCTTAATTTAATGATATGTTTATATGTCTATTATTATGATCATGATCATTGCATTATTACACAATTATATACAAAATTGTTTTTTAAAAAGAGTCTAGATAATAATATCCCCGTGCATCGCACGGGTGATTACTAGTATATATAAAAAGGTTGTTGTTAAAATACCTTTTTAGAAACTTTTGACAAAAAAAAAAAAAATACATTTGACATTCTAAATATAGAAAGCTTGAAAGCATTTATAAGACACGAGATTAAAAAAAAGTCATACTTGAATTCAAAAATTAATGGATTAGAGATATTATTGGGATATGTGGATAAGTCACCTTAAAGAGATAAGTCACCTTAAAGAGATATTATTGGGATATTATTGGATCCATAATTATCATTACATAATTATCATCAATCTTTCCATTAAATTTCGGTCCATACCAATGTGATACAAAAAAATTTCTATAAAATAATATGCACTACCACTATTATCTGTACACGTCACTCACAGAGTTCAGAGACAAAAATAAAGAGATAAATTTCATAACACATCGATAATATAATAACCATGGGAAGAAAGATATCATAACCAACATATGGAAACTTGTGCTTCATGGAAGAACTCGTGTTATCAAATATGGTGGGGATTTTCCCTCAAAATGGTAATATTTTCCCTCAACATTAGCAAGGAGCAGGAGATATTTATGATATTTAGAGTTTGATTATTATGAATTTTAATTTCATTCCATGTCGTTGAATTCCGAATTTTATAATAAATTTTAGTGTTCTTATATTTGTTATCGTTATAAAATTTTGATGAATATTTTTATTTTTTTATTCAATGTCACACGAATGTGAAAATTTGAACATTTTATATTTTACTTTTACTGTATATTAGTTTAAAATTGGTAGAATGTCATGATATAAGATATAAATTAATACACATTTTAACAAATATTTCAAATATAAGATTATATAAATAAAAAATTACGGAATTAACAATAACTGAATCAAGTACATTTAATGGATTATATTGCGTGATATTTCAATAATTTATCATAATGGATTATATTCATAAATATTTGTTTGATTATAATTTTTATATTAATTTGTATTATATAATAATAGACGTTGATCTTAATGATAAAAGATTAAATATGATCTCGCCGTGGTAGTTTCTTATTGACGGAAAATCACAGTCTCAATTCAAAATTAATTGTAGAGACAATACAATTAATGGTGTAGAAATAATACATACCACAATGATAGGGTTTGTTTAAAGAGGTAAACCTAATTGATTTACCTTATCATTTTGACAAGGTTTGTTTAAAGAGATAAACATATTTGAAAGAAATAAACATATTTAATTTAGTACTAACCATGTTTATGTACGATTCTAATCATATACTTGATACTAATTGAAAGAGATGAGTTTTTTTTCCCCCCCAAAATTTCATAACTAATATAATTTAATAAATTAGTTATGAACCGACTTTTATGTGTTATCAATTAATTTGAATTTAATAAACCAAAATATTGGTAAATTTAGTTATGAAATAGAAAAAATAATCCATAATTTTATGAAATCTGCATATTTTGCTTATAAAATTTGAAAGTAATTGAATTTGAGCATTTTGAAAATTTATCAGGGTTTATTTCCAAAAGTTCTTTGTTTCTAAATACCGTGAATTTTAAATACATCATATCACTGTGATAAGATTTGTTTAAAATAATGATAAGATTTGAATTGAACTTAGCGAAATCCTTTCAAAATTTTGGTTAAGAAAAAGGCACAAGAATCATCAAAAAATCGATGCATTCAAAAAAGTTGTACATGATATTATAAAAGATGTACACGTTTCCTAAATTGATTTGAATTTATTTTCTTAAATAATTAGATAAGATTTGACGTTAAGTACTAAACATTAAATTGAAAACTAATTTTGTTACAAAAAAAAATGTGGGTACGGAACCGACTTTAGTTACTAAAAAAAGTGGACAAGATTTTGATTGTATAGTCTATCCAAATCTCAATTGTTTCAAAATAAAAGATGCACATGTTTTTTAAAAAAAATCTTAAAATAGTAAGTTGACCAATTTAATTTTTTTAATCAAACTTATTATAAAAGTATGAGTAAATAATATTTTCCAACATGTACTATACGTGCTTTTGAGATTTTCAACATAAAGTATTTTTTGTTGTAAAATGTAACATAAACTACATGTACAGTCACTATTTGCACGCTCGACCACATCAGGACCATACACTTGTCCTTTTTTGAGGATGATGGGACGGTCAAAAAGTAGTCGAGCGTGCAAATAATCGTATATATGTAGTTCAGGTTGCAATTTACAAAAAAAAAAAGAATATTTTAGGTTGAAAATCCCAAAAGAACGTATAGTACAAGTTAGAAAAAATTATTATTTACTAAAAGTATTTTTCCAACCGGCTTTTGTACAGATATAGATATAGATATTGAGTTGATCCATTTTGCAAATTTAAAAAATTCGTGTTCATTTCTTGCGGTGCTATTTTGAAATTTATTTGCACATTCACTCGCCGACAGCCAGGGGCGGAGCTAGAATTTACAAGCTACCCGAGCTACAAGTATAGCAAAATAATATGTATGAATATGATAAATATAATAGTTATTTAAGGTTCCCAAGAATCTTTTAATTTTTATTAGAATAACTTGACATAAATTGTAGGGGAAAAGTAAAATTAATTATCTAAACATATAAATAAAAACAATAACAGTAATATACTGACTTTGTTTTGGATTTTTTTCAATATACTTGTTGACACCCGAGTTCGCCCCCAAAAGAAACCGGACCGGAGACCCGGTCGAGTGCCGGAGTGCCGAGCTGAACTCCGAAACTTTTTGGCCATGACACCCCCGCGGTTCCATCCTTTAGTCCGGCGTTTGCGACAATTAAAGTGCAGGTGCCGGCCTGATGAGCGGCGAGCTGGAGGGAAGCTCCCCGGGGCCAAGGGAGCAAAATGGAAACAGGAGCCGACCTGAGGCCTCAGAACGGATCTCCCATGACGGACGCCGATCTCAATAACAATATAATAATGCCACTTGGAGAGCAATCATTGGTGATTGGACGGGGCGTCCTAGCCTACTGGCCTACATCCACTAGCCAAGACATAAAACCTGTCTGCATTTAATGACCCCCATGTGTGCATTAAATGCCTGTCAGGCAATGATGAGGAAAACCTCAAATCGCATTAAATTCTGTCAGGGAGGCGCCGGACTGCTCTGCAAGGACACTGTACGACAAGACCGGTGAACAGTACCTGAACAGTGTCACATTTAAGGCCACTATAAATAGCACCCTACTTCATTTAATTTTGGGTTGTTGAATCCCAACTGTCTAAACTCTCTCTACATTTTCTCTCTGTAGACTTGTAAGGGATTCGTGTAAGAATCTGCAAGTATATCGCAAGTGCCGACCTCGTACGAGAGGCTAACCTCGTGATCCTTTAATAAAATCATAATTAAACCGCATCTTCTTGTCTTTTTCTCGTTATCTTCTCATTATTTACCTTTTTAACCGTTGACCGGAAAAGCCCGTCAACAATACTGAATATAAATTTAGCACTGGTGTTAATAAGCAAACAACTCTTAATATCACAAAACAATAATAAATAGAATTAGAATGACAATAAAACATAAACAAAAAATAGTCACAATTTTCTCCAAGTAGAATACAAAATAAATTTTCAACCATCATTTTAAATCGCAACGAGAAGGATGAAAATCCCACCAATTTGATATAGAAGATGATCATTTAAACTTAAAATAGGTCTATAATATAAATTCAAAGCAACTGCTCAATACATAATAAATTAATTGATGTATTAATGGAAAAACATGCTTAATTAATTTATTAATGAGGGTGTATTCAATTGGAATTTAAAGTGACATTTTAAGACTTTTTAAGATTTGAGATTTGTTAAGATTTCCAGATTTTGGAGAAATTCCGTGAAATCTTAAGTCTGGAGGTGGGATTTCAACTAGGATTTCGTATAAGATTTTTTGTTTAGAAATCCCATTAAAT